ATCTATCTATCTATCTATCTATCTATCTTCTATCTAATTTTTAAATTGTCCATCTCCCTCAAAGAGGAATTGTTGGTGATGATCTTATCACTGTTAATTTTATTATTAATATTGTATTACATTTGCATAATTAAATTAAATGTAAATAGCTGTCTTAAATTGCAGCTTAAATCAAGGACCTTAAACTCATTTAAGCCAAGGAATTATATAAATTATAAAATTGTGTTTTGTGTGTAGAATGGGGTGGGAGAGAGAGTTTTTAAACTTTGTGAAGGAATATAGAGTGAAAAATCATGAATAAAACTGGGTGTGGATAACAGTTTCAGACACATGGTCTCTAAAGTTTTATTTATATATCCATGGTTTCTGGAATTATGTTTTGATGATCTGTTTCTTGCCCCGCCCCTTTTTTTAAAAAAAATCTTTCATCTGTATTTGGTTTGCATGTGACTTTATGTAAAAGGATTTTTCAAACTGGAAAAGATTTTGGGAAGGATAAAATAAGATAGATAGATAGATAGATAGATAGATAGATAGATAGATAGATAGATAGATAGATAGATAGATAGATAGATAGATAGATAGATAGATAGATAGATACAGAGAAGATGAGATTTTATTATAAGCTTCTAATTTTGTTAAGCTTGACTGCGTATTGTAGAGAGAAAAATGTTAGAAAAAGAGGGCTGAGGATAAGAAGAATCTTTTTTCCATTCAGCATTATTCCTACCCTACATCTGGAGCCTCTTTTCACAATCTGTTTCTGTTGGTCATTAAAGTGCTTTGCAGAGGACCAATGCATAATTTTTGATTTATTTGTGGGAGTTATGCATTTTCTCTTACATGGCCCCTAAAAAGAAAAGGCTACTTTGTCAGTTCAGAATATGGAATATGAGTAAATTGAGCCTATCAGTTTATTCCCATTTAACACCTTCTGCTATTAGGAGCAACTATACACACCATATTGTATTGTTGGGTTTTGTTTTGTTTTTTTACTTGCAAACTTGTAATCCTACTTTATTTTCTCCATACATGCCAGAATAAAAATCTCTAGTTTATAACTTTGACTTTTTATAGATTGAGGTTCTGGTATGCACATAGCTTTGAATGAGCCATCTGTTAAGCAGTTATTATGCATCATTATATACATATTCATTATATATATTAGTGCGTGTACTTATTGATTGTATTCCTGGCAAATGAGGCACTTAATTTTAATTTTAATAGTTCCAAAAGGTGATTTTGACGCTTAGAATAGCCACTCAGATGATGGATGATTTATGGTTTATAGGTAATAGTTATAGATTGCATTAATACAAAAACATGCACCTTGGTATATCTAGTTATTGCACTTTACATTTTAAATTCAAGCCTATATTCTGAAAAGGTTTTGTTCTGTGTCTTATATTATAATGGCTTTACAGGTTAATCCAGTGGTGGCGAACCTATGGCACGCGTGCCAGAGGCGGCACTCAGAGCCCTCTCTGTGGGCACGCGCGCCATGCCCCGGAGATGGCAACTGTCCCTCTTCAACCAGCCGCCCACTAACTCGCCGAGGTCCCACATGGCCGGATGCATCCCAGCACCCATGCGCTCACTGGCCTGTGTGTGCAGGGGCTGATGGTGTGAGGCAGCAGCCGCCCCGGCCTCACCTTGCTCTGTGACAATGGCACCCCCACCCTGCCTTGCCTTGCCTCACTCAGCAGGACAAGCCTCCTGCCCACCACCCCACCTGCCAGAGACCCCCTGGATCTCCCCCAACCCTGCCCGGCCCCCACAGGCATTCCTCCCACGAGCAACATCTAGGTGATCATGCCCAACTTGGCCACACCCACCCAATCTGCCATGACCACCACAGCCACACCCACCCAGTGGGCCACGCCCACCTGGCACCCGGTGATAAATAAGAGTGTTTTGGGTTGCAGTTTGGGCACTTGGTCTCTAAAAGGTTCGCTATCACTGGGTTAAGCGCTACATGCCCTCAGTTTGCCTGGGTTTTGTGCCTCACACTGGCAAGAATGTATACACTCACAATTTCAATGGATAGAGTGTTCCCAATCACTTTACCCAGGAAAAGTTTTTTTCTCATGTCAAATTAGTTTCCTGGTGATTGTAAGAAAACTTCCCTGTTGTGACTATAGCAATAATATGGAACTAGACAACCTATGCCCTGTTGGGTCATCATTTCAGAGATATTTCTTTATCTAAACAGAGAAATAGAATGATCAATGGCAGGCAAAAAAGAAGGGGAAGCAGGAGCAACTTCTGATTTCCTACCGGCTTCCCCACTAAGTTTTCTTATGGGAATCTGGCAGGGAGCACTGGAAATCTCCCTTCCCTTTCTAGCAGGGCTGTAAATTGCTGCTGCTGGATGGAGGGAGGAAGTGAGGATTGTGAGACTGGCTGGGAAACTGTCATGGAATGTTAAAAATAAAGATTATGTGACAGCAGCAACCCAATAGCACCTAAGCAGCCACAACATCCCCAAATTTCATTTCCTTGGGAGTCAAGGGTCCCAGATTTTGGACACATTCTATAAATTAACCCACAATGTACTTTGGTTCAAAAATTGTTGCTATATGATGCACCATTTTGCTGAATTAAATGTTATGGCAATGAACATTTTAGTAGTATATAGGTGCCATTGATGAATTCATATACATTAAGCACCTCTACTAATAATACTTTCCTAAAATTTCACCTACACCATCCAGGCAGAAATCTGATATTCACAATTCCTTCTCATAAAGCTCAGGTGCTATTTCATTGGCCATTAATTCTGTTTTGTGGCACACATTTTCAGTGGCGCCAGGAAGCACCGCATACAGTATGCAAATTATGCTGGACCATCAGGATAGAAAGATAGATGCACACACACAAAAAAATGAGAAGCAAATATGCTTAGTAGCAAATGTATTTATTTTGCTTGTTAAATTTATATCCCACCTCTTCAGAGTAGGACAGGCTGGAAAGATTCACTGGTTGAAAGTTACCCAATGAGGTTCCATGGCTGATGGTTGACCTAAAAGTGGGTCTCTTCTATCCTTAATCCAACCATTCAACCACTGAATTAATTGGCTTTGAGAAAAATGAAAGAAACGTTTGCATTTTTGAATATGCATTAGAGGTGTTTGCTGGATTGTCCCAAGTTCAGCTTACTGGGTAAAGCATAGTAATTCAAAACAGATTTTCTTTTATTCAGTGGAGACGAGACACGTCTGATCACACACTGACTTCAGGAGGCCCCTGAATTCTGAATACTGTAGCTGTATAATTTTTGGTTAAACACAGCATTATGCTCTGCAGCTCAAGAACAAATGTGCAAAAGTGTAATGATTGGAACTAAGTATTTAAGTGTCCCTCTTTGAGAGAAATGGGCAGTTCATAACAAAAATAAATAAAAAATTTAAAAGGGTTTAAAAATTTTACTTCAGCCATGTTTTTTCCATGATAGAAAGCTTGGAAGTTATTCTTTCCTTAAACCAAAATGGTTTTTTTTTGGTCTTAGAATATAGGAGCAGTTACTTATTGCATGAGACCATATTATTACTGTGTTGTAAAGGAAATGGGTGAAGAAAATCATAAAAGGGTTTAGCAAATATCTGCATGACATCTCAAGCAAATAAGTCTAGTATCATTGCTTTTTATTTTAAAAGAATGTTTAATTTATCATACCATTGTGTTTCTACATTTGCAGTTCAGCCTGTCTTCAACATCTTCTAATTTTAGCCTTCTCTATAAGCCTTGTTCATTCATGCAAGCCCAGGGAAGCAGAAATCTTCTTTACTTTCACTAACAAGATGTGTTATTACCCTGTTGCGTAACATTAAAAGACTCTGTAAGTATGGAGACTCTAGAATTCTAGAAAATAAGGATATCAAATCTTAAGAAAAGTCTCCAAAGCCAGAAGAAGCTCCATGCAGCAGACATGACTTCTCATGTTGAGAGTCCTGAGAACAGGGATGGGGATAATATTCTGATCTCTTCTTTTCTGATTGTACAACCTATTTTCTGTAAACATCTAAAGAAGCTGTGAGTTACATATTATATACATGCACATAGCCCCCCTGACTTTGAAGGGCAGCATCCAAATTTTATAAACACATACTCAAATACCATTTGCACTGTGTAAGGAC